AGTGAATAAGGAAGATTGTAGAAGAATTGATGCCTTTGAATTATGGTGTTGTAGGAGAATACTAAAAGTGCCATGGGCTGCCAAAAGAACCAATAGATCTATTTTGGAAGAAGTGCAGCCAGAGTGCTCCTAAGAGGCCAAGATGGCCAAACTTCATCGCTCATACTTTGGATATATTGTCAGGAGGGACCAGTTGCTGGAGAAGGATATTATGCTGGGTAAGATGGAGGGTCAGAGAAAAAAGAGGAAGACCCCCAACGAGATGGATTGGCCAGGTGGCAGCATTAATGGACTCAAGTGTGGCAGTGGTAGTGAGGTTGGCCCGGGATTGGACATTGTTTCATTCTGTTGTGCATGGGGTAGCTATAAGTTGGTTCCGACTCGATGGCTGCTAACAACAACAACTGTTTCATTAAAGAATAACAGCCTCAGAAACCCTAAACAGTGTCACTATGAGTCAGGGCATAATCATCACCACCAGCATGAGACATATGGTTCTCAAATACTTTCCTCCAATCTGTAGGTTCTCTCTTCATTTTGTTTATGAAGTCCTGCAATGAACAGAAGTTTGTTTTGTGCTTTATTTTTCTTATTTTGGCGAGATCCCATTCACGTATTTTGGTTTTGTTTCTTGTGTTATTATAGCCACATCTATGTATGGTGCTGTGGGCTAATGTGTCAGGCTGCAAAGTCATTTTAACTGCAAGGTCAGTGGTTCAAGCTCACCAGCGGCACCTTGGAAACCCTATACAGGGTTGCTATGGGTTGGAATAGACTCTACAGCACTTAACACACACACACATGAATTCATTACTAAAAACCAGGTCCTGAAAAGCTTTACCCATATGTTTTCTTGTTTCATTTGCACTTAGGTCTTTGATCCATTTTGACTTAGCTTTTTCCTATGGTGTGAGGTACGGGTCCTTGTTCATATTTTCCCATAAGGAAATGCAGGTCTTATTGCCTCTTTGAATAGAATTATCATCCTTGTTGAAAACTCGTTGACTGTTACATACATAATTATTTCTGGACTATCAACTTTATTCCAATGTCTTTAATTATACCAATACCAGACTATTTTGATTACTGTTATTTTATAACAAACTTTAAAATCAGAGATTGTAAGACTTCCTACTTTATTCTTTCCCAACTTTTCTTTGGATATTTTCATACAAATTTGACAATTTCTGCAATGAAGGCTAACAGAATTTTGATTAGTATCACATTATAGCTCTAGATAAATTTAGCTAGTATTGACATCTTAGCAATATTAGCACAAATGACCAGCAAGCTTATGAAAAGTTCAACAACATTAGGCAAGAGGCTAATGCAAAGAAAAATCATGATGTGAAATCATTCCATACCCACTAAGACAGCTATGATTAGCAATATGGAAAACAACAGGTGTTGGCAAAGATGCAGAGAAATTACACTTCTGACGCATTACTGGTGAGAGTGTAAAATGGTACAGTCATGTGGAAAATAGTGTGGTCACTTCTCAAAATGCTAAACTTCAAGTTACCATTTTGTTGTTGTTTTTAAATGCCATTGAGTCAGTTCCAACACATAGCAACCCTGTATAGGGTTTCTGAGGAATGGCTGGTGAGCTTGAACCACCGACCTAGAGATTCCAACTGACTTTTCAGCCCAGCACATTAGCCTACAGCACCACACCAGGGCTTCATATTACCTATATTCAAGTTACCATATTACCCATATTTTAGTTAGCATATTACTCATTAATTGCACAATACTCTTAGGTATGTGTCCAAGAATTGCATGCAGGAACACAGCCACATACATGTACACCAATGTACGTGCTCATTGCACCATCCTTCACAACAGCCAAACAGCATATAGTAAACATATAAAGTTTAAATGTTCATCAGTACATGAATAGATACATTCTAAAAACAATAGATCAAATACAATGGAATATTACTCAGCCATAATGAAAAGTGAAGACTAGATACATGTTACAACATTGATGAACCTCGAAAACATTATGCTGAATCAAATATGTTGGTCAAAAAATATTGTGTGATCCCATTTATATGAACTATCTAGAGTAGGGAAACATATAGAGACCAAAAGTTATTACCAGGGGCTTTGTTGTTATTAAGTATCATTGAATCAGTTCCAACTCATAGTGCCCATGTATAGGGATTCTGGAGTGAACTCTGGGTGCTGTGCTTTAGGATAAGCACTGGACTGTGAACCACAAGGTCAGAAGTTCAAACCCACCAGCTGATCCTCCAAAACCCTGTACAGGGTTGCTATGATTTGATATCAACTTGATGGCCCTTTAACAACAACAACAATAGGGCTTCTGAAGAGTGGTTGGTTGGTTTGAACCACCGACTTTGTCATTTTTTGTCCAGTGCTTATCCTACAGTCGCACACCAGGACTCAATTATCAGGGAGTGATGTGAGGAAAGGGAAAAGGGAAACTCATTGCTTAATGGACATTGACCTTCTTTTAAGAATGTTAGGAAACTTTGAAAAACGATAATATTGATGGTAGAACAATATGACAAAAATAATTAATGTTCACTGAATTCTACATAATAATTAATGTCATTGAATTCTACTTCTGCAGAATGTTTAATGTCAATTGTTTTATTAAATATATATTGACTACAATTTAAAAATAGATACTAAGTGGTACTATTAAAATATGTGAATGGAAAATAGATAATGAATGTTGTTGTTTTTGTTATTGTTTTTAAGTGCCATAGAATCAGTTCCACATCACAGAGATCCTATTAGTATAGGGTTTCTGAAGAGAGGCTGATGAGTTTTAACTGCCAGTCTCTGGTTTAGCAGTCCAGTACTTACTTATCTTACAGCAGCATGCCAGGACTCCAGGTAACAAATACTATTTCCAAATTGGTGGTGGCAGTGGTGGGAATTTGCCCTAGAGTCGGTTCCAAACTCTGCATAGGGTTTCCGAGTCTATAAATCTTTACATGAGCAGAAAGCCTTGTCTTTCTCCCGTGAAACAGCTGGTAGTTTTGAACTGATAACCTTGAGGCTAGCAGTACAATTTGTAACCACTATGCTACCAGAGCTCCTATTTCCAAATTAGAAAGGTTTTATTTCCAACTTTAATAAGAAAAAATTCCATCATGGCTCTGAGATACATGCTAGTATACAGAAACCAGATGACAATGTATGGCATTTTTGCCAACACTGTGTCACAATAAGAATAATGGTTTTAATACAATGTTGTTGTTATTAAATGTCATCAAATTGATTCCAACTCACTGCAACTTTTATAGGTTTCCAAGGAGAGGCTGGTGGGTCTGAACAGCCACTCTTGCTAGTAGCTGCCCAAGGCTTATCCTAAAGTGCCACACCAGGACACACATTACAGGGTAATAATGACAAATTTTGTAAAGTAGATCACATTGTATCTGTAAATAGAAACACAAAGTTATAGTAATGCAGGTACAAATCATATTTTTAAAATTCCATATCTTGATGGAGATAGTGACAAAGAATATACACCTATCTTTAATCCACCATAGTCATAATTCAGGGAAGACTTCCACGGTATAAACAAGAAGAAACAGCCTGTCTGTTTGCTTTGAAGGTCATATTGTTGCTGTTTTTGTATTGCTGATTTTTTGTCAGTTCTTTTTCTCATCGCTTTAGATTTAGAATGGAAGGGGCAATGAATATCAGTATTTATCATTTTAAATCTACATATTATTAACGTTGAAGGCAGCAACAACCAGGATTTTTGAACATAAAGCAACTTTATGCTATTTCCTTGAAAATCACTGTCCTTATCCTCTTGGAAAAGGAAAGCATATTGAAAGAGTTCTAACCTTAAGGAGAGAAAAATAGCGGCATGTTCAGAATAGTTTCCACACAGAAAACTAATACTAAAGACTATCAAGAAGAATTAAATGAGGTGCAGATTAGAAAGAGATGAAAAGGGTTTGGCAGTTTCAAGACAGTAGAAAAATATCCATCTGCATAACACTGAGTATCTCTCAGAGTTTTTTCTTGGATTTACTCTCAATTTTCTCTAATGTTCTTCAAGAGGATGCACATCTCTCATAGTGCAAATTTCCACCCACATTCTGATGATTTACCCTTTGTTTTAACTTGTGTTTCCAAAATGAAATTCTACTCTTTCTTTGAAATAAATGCAAATCTTTTGATGATATCATTGAAAGACTGCTTTACTTGTTTATTTCTCAGGGTATAAATGAAGGGGTTCAACAAAGGTGCAACCGACGTAGTTAGCAGAGAAACGGCCTTGTTTATGGCCATTTCATCCTTTGTTGAAGGTTTGACATATATAAATATGCAGCTGCCATAGGTGATAGAAACCACAATCATGTGGGAAGAACAGGTGGAAAAGGCTTTTTTCCTTTGTTGAGCAGAAGGCAATCTTAGAATCGTCTTAATGATATGTATGTAGGATAGAACTACACATATAAGAGTCATTATGAAGGTCAGTACAGCACAAGCAATAACCAGCTGCTCTATGAACCACGTATCTGAACATGAATTCTTCAGTAGTGGAGAAGCATCACAGATAAAATGGTCAATGACAGAGTCACAAAATTCCAGATGGAGGCTCAAAACAAGAGGTGGGAGGATAATCAATAATCCAGACATCCAACAACAGAGGATAAGGATTCTGCAGACTCTGCTGTTCATGATGGTCACATAATGCAGGGGCTTGCAGATGGCTACATAGCGGTCATAGGACATGACAGCTAAGAGAAAAAATTCTGTAGCTCCAAAAAGGACAATAAAAAATATCTGGGTGAAACATGCTTTGATGGTGATAGTTCTATCCCCAGTTGATATGATGTGTAGATATGTGGGGACACACACAGTAGTGAATGAGATTTCTAAAAAGGAAAAATTCTGAAGGAAAAAATACATGGCTGTTTTTAGATGAGAATCCACCAAGACGAGAGCAATTATCATCATATTTCCAATTATACTGAACAAATATGTGAGAAACAGAAAGATGAAAACCAGAATCTGTAGTTGTGGGTCATTTGTCAATCCCAGTATGATGAACGTTGTTATTGTTGAGTGGTTTTTCATCACTGACTTCACACTACTGCCCAATCTTCACATAAAATCACAGAAATTATCATATCTAAGGAAAAATGTATGAAGGAACCAGTCAGTAATAAATACCTGCCAATTAAGTATAGTCACATGCATTTCCTTGTATTACTTGATAATCAAGTTTTTGACAAGGTGATGACGTCACTCCATGGACATGAACCACAGGGAAGCTGGTATTGTGGAAGGTTTTGGGACGAAGTATAACCTGAAAATTCTCCTTAGAGGCAAGACTCGGTCAGTAAAAAAGAGGAGGACATTCAATGGCAACTGTGAAGATGGTGCAGGACCAGGCAGTGTTTCATTCTGTTGTACAGAGGGTTATGTGATGAGTCACAACTGCTTCAATAACACTTAACAACCACAACAATAATCCTGACTGTCTCAAATTATGTCTCCCCCTCCATTAGCATCAAATAAAAGGTTGTTAAACCTGGACAAGAAAATTAACTATCTTATTACATCCTCTATATTCTACACTGAGAACAGTATCTAACACAGCATATTACAAATATTTGCTGAATTAGTGAATTTTACTCTATCACACTATTCTTCTTAGGTGCTGTCGAGTTGGTGTGGACTCATAGCGACTCTCTATAGGGTTTCTGAGGCTGTAAATCTTCGCAGGAGTAGAATGTTTTATCTTTCTCCCATGGAATGGCTGTTGGGCTTGAACTCTGGAGTTCATAGTCCAGTGCTTATCCTACAGAGCCACCGCTTACACACTGGGAACTTACAGACTATGTTAAATATAAATAAAGAAATGACTCACAATAGTAGGATTCTTTATCTCTGTAAGTAACAGGTAGTTTATAATCATTTTAGGGAAAAGTGAGCCAAAGAGCCTCTCCTGGTTTGCTTGTTTGCTTTTCCCTTAGTGTCTTTATGTTTTTAATTGACCAACTATATACACTATGATCAAGAGGATAAATTACCAACTACTCACTGAATTTTCCTCCCTGCCCTAACTGCCTAACACATAATTTATCTTCTCTCCCATAATAGTACTTCTTTTATTCAATTTATCTGTCAATATGATAATAAACTAAGCCAAATTAGACAGTCACTGTGATTGAAGCAATAACAATAGTTGTTCTTCCAGCAAAACAATTAGTTACATTGATCTATTCATTGTAACTTCAATCAACATTCTAGGCTTCTGATGTCCAAGATCCTCTAACCACATGTGACTAAAAACCCTTAAATTATAACTAGTCTGAACTGAGATTTACTGGAACTGTGAAATACACACTCAGTGAAAATACAATAATATAAGACATCTCAACATTGAATTTATACTGAATACATTTTGAAGT